GAGCTACAGAGCCACTTCCGGTTTTCTGGTGGTTTATTGGAGATAGGAGTCTCACGGTCTCTCCTGCCCGGGCTGGCTTTGAACCGCGATCCTTAGACCTCAGCCTCCTGAGTAGCTAGGGTTACAGGCATGAGCCACCAGCGCCTGGCAACTTTTTTCTTCTTGCTTATGTGGTGCTGAGGAATCAAACCCAGCACCTCAGGCATGCAAGGCAAGTGCTCTACCATTGAGCCACATACCCAGCCCACATTATAGCATTTTTTATGGTGTGCAAAGCACTTTTATAATTAATTTGTTTCAGCAACTGTAGGAGTTGTAAATAACATAATAGCTATTTCTGTATATTATACAGTACTTACACAGAACTCCTCTCTCTTCCTCTTCCCCTTTCTTCTTCTTATTCCCTACCTTTCCTTCCTTTTCTCCCCCTTTTCCCTCCTTTCTCCCTCTCCCTCTGCCTGTCCCTCCTCTCTCCTTGTTCTTCCCTCTTGTTTTTTGGGTTTTGCGGAGCCTGTCCTGGCTTGACTAGGTCCTGTCACTGAGCTTTTTTTGCTCAAGCCTCTTGAGCCACAGCTCCTTTTCTCACTTTTTTTGGTGGTGAATTGGAGATAAGAGTCTCATGGACTTTCTTACCCAGACTGGCTTCAAGCCATGATCCTCAGATCTCAGCCTCCTGAATAGCTAGGATTATAGGTATGAGTTACCTGGTAGTTATGTAGAAGTCCTGATTTAAATGAACTCTTTCAGTCCTGAGAGCCACCATTTATGGTACGAATTTATTATCCTACTTTTATAAATATGGAGTGAGGCTTAGAAAGGCTGTTTTGTTCACATTCATACAAATGCAGGCACATGACTTCAGAGCCTCAATTTTTTTTCATCACCCTCAATTGTAGAATCAGCGATTTATTTGCCTTTGAGCATACTTTAGAAAGAAAAGTGGAAGGTACTATTCAGAGCAATTGCACATTATCTTTAAATTATTCGTCATTATCTTTAAATTATTTTATCCCAGATTAGAAAGCAGTGATTTTTTTTTTCAGATACACCCCTTTCAGTTTTAAGTCTGAAATGGATCAGTTTTGCTCACCAGAATTCAGTCTTTAGCCTGTAGGTGGCTCAGTGCTTTCCTTAGTACTTTTCTGCCTCCTCCCTAAAGTCTGTTTTAAAATAGGTTCTATAATTGTAGGATATCCCATTCATTCTTCTAAGCTGGTATAGTACTCACCCCCAGCACTTCACACTCTAGCTCTCTTTTTCAGCCAGTTAGAGGAAGAAAATATTTATTTTTTGTTTTGAGAAAATTGATCAATCTCTCCAGTCTAAACTTTCAGCCAATTACTGCCTATTGCAGAGATTCATTCTTCTAAGATTTAAGCTTCTATGAAAGGTTACAACCTAGTTTCAGCTTGAAAAGAATCGTCTAGCTAATATAAGTACGTTTCAAATATGTAATCATTTAGATTTATATCTGTTATAACAACATACAGATTCTCAAGAGAAAGTAAGTAGGTTTTCCTTCTATATAGTAGACATTTTTTGGGGGGAGGAGGAAGAGTTCTGGGGTTTGAACCCAGAGCTTCTGTTCTCTAGGCAGGCTGTCTAGCATACCAGTCATGTTCCCAGCCCTTCTTTTCTTTTTTTTTTTTTTTCTGTTATTTTTTGAAAAAGGTTTTGCTTATTTTGAGCCTGGATTGGACCACAATCCTATTTATACCTCTTGCATAGCTAGAATGATAGGCATACAACACCAAGCTCAACTTACTGGCTAATATGAGGTCTCTTGCTGACTTTTTTCCCCAAGCATGTTTCACTCTATAACCTTCCTGATATCTCTCTCCCAAATAGCTAAAATTTCAGGCATGATCCACCTGGCTCTACTTACTTTCGTACAGTAGTTTTAGGAAACCCAGGCCTTTATCATTAAAAGCTGTCTTTTAGGGGTTGAAGATGATCAATTTGGGCAAGAAGTACATTGAAAAATGTTCATATGTTCTTCCTAATTTGCTAAGAGTTTTTTCTTACTGTGTGTCAATTCTCTCTCTTAGTGTACCTCGGTATGATCAACCACCTCCTGTCACATACCAGCCACAGCAAACTGAAAGAAACCAGTCCCTTCTGGTTCCTGCAAATCCTTACCATACTGCAGAAATACCTGACTGGCTTCAGGTTTATGCTCGAGCCCCTGTGAAGTAAGTGAACACATAGTACAAAACTTTTTAAGAGTCTCTGAACTGCCTAAGCTGCATTTAACCTTCCTGATTATTGAAAACTTTTATGGCATACAAAGAGCATTTTCATAATTTTCTCTCAGCAACTTTATAGAAGTTACCAAGGAAGCCAACCTTGGCTTGTAGAACTGTGCTTTTCTTATAATATTGGGCTTCTGAGTAATATTTTATTTGAAGAAAGGATACCAGAGCTCATAAGATTTGAAAATAACTCATCAGAATTACTAATTCTTCAAATATCTTTTGAGCCTTCACTGTATGTGCAGGCCTCTGCTATTAGGGATATATAATAAGCTTGACCTCAAAGTGATAAAAGAATTAACTAGGTTAAGTGCTAAATAAGTGGTAAAAGCAAGACACTCTGAAAGTCTAAGATGTTTTAGTTAAGAATTATGAATTATTTCAAATGAATAATAAATCAGCAATTTCAAATGAATAATAAGTAAAATCTTAAGCTATGTGAAGGATGGGTTCTGAAAAGAGTTCATATGTAACTATTTTATCATTCTGGCTCACTTGAGTATTGTATCTCTCCATTTTCACAAGTGGAAAAATAAAGCTTTCTACAAAGTCAGCATCTAATAGTAAATTTGCAGTTATCAAGTAATTGGATAAAATTGGGAGTCCAACAGAGTATGTTTACCTTGTGGGTTCCATATTGTGTTCTTGGTACACATATGAAGTTGGGAAGAAGAATGTATGCCAGAGTACTAAGCCTGGTTTATACATAGACACACCCACACACCCACACCCACCCACACACACACACATTTTGTTACATAGATGATCCTTTTGGAAAAATGATAAATGAATTACAAAAGGACCCATTGGGTAGGACATTATATGATCTAAAGTTTCTTATCTGCTTTGCAAATGATTTTAGGACTGTCTAGTTCTAATAGATATTAGCATAGAAAACATTTTTTTTCCCTTGACAGTACTGGGGCTTGAACTTATGGCCTTGTGTTTGTTAGTCAGATTCTCTACCTCTTAAGCCATATCCTTAGCCCTTTTTTATCTTTCTAGTCAAATCTCACATTTATGCCTGGGCAGGCTTGGGCCATAATCTTATTTGTACTTCCAACATAGCTAGAATGACAGGCATATAACATGCCCAGATATTTTAGTTGAGATAAGGTCTTGTGAACTTTTTTCTGGGCTGGCCTCAAACAGTGATCCTCCTGATCCATCACCTCCTTAAGAGCTAGATTTACAGACATAAGACACAACGCCTGAATAGAAAATTACTGAAGCTTTCTTCTTGATCCATAGTTCTGTTTTTGAATCTTTTGTTATTAACACTATCTGTGTGTTACCAGTACTTGAACTCAGGGCCTCAGGTCTCAGCTTTCTTGCTCATAGCTGATGCTTTACCATACCTCCTGTCAGATATTTTTTAAATTGGAGATGGAACCTTGCAGTCTTCTGCCTGGAGTGGCTTTGTACAGAGATTCTCTAGGTCTCACCCTCCTAAGTAGGAATACCTATAGGCATGAGCCACCAGTACTTGGCTACTGAACACTTGCAGCAGCTGCTTTAAAATTCTGTTCTTTTATGTTTAAGCAAAAAAATTGAATTGAGAGTACAGTCTTCAAATCTTTCATTTCAAAGGATAAGTTATTTCTGAGGTTGGTTGCATAATCCCATTTCAACATGTGATCCACTAAGCATTGAAGGAGGACTGGAGAGGCCTTCCATGATATATTAAATATAATCTCATGCCAGCTGCTGGTGGCTCCTGCCTTTCATCCTAGCTACTCAGGAGGCTAAGATCTGAGGATCGTGGTTCAAAGCCAGCCTGGGCAAGAAGACTTATCTCCACTAAACTACCAAAAACCCCAGAAATGATACTGTGGCTTAAGTGGTAGAGAGGTAGCCTTAAGCAGAACAAACTCAGAGACAGGATCTAGGCTCAAACCTCAGGTTTTGTGTGTGCGTGTGCACAGGAGCAGAGACATACACACACGCTCTGATTTTGAAAAGTTTCATTCTCTATTTTTGTTGTTCTGGGATTTTTAATGCTAGGTACTCATCTAAGGAATGGTTAGCCTACAAATAATGTTTTCTCTTCCTTGCTTCTCTTTTTGGTTTCCTTGTTTGCAATAGTGAACATCATTCCTCAAACAGATCAGTACTAATGACACACATGACTTCAACTGTTTTCATACCTTCTCATGTGTAGGCACAGTATGTTCTAGTCTTCAGTTCCTGAAAGCTTTTATGAACCTATGAATAGCAACGAATGTGTTTTTCACAAATTATAGAAATTGATGTTTTATTTTCTAGCACATTAAAATAACTGATACTTAATAGAAATAGGTACACTTGAATGATAACAGTTGTCTCCCTTCCCTAAAATACAATGTGTTTAAATCTGGGCGTGATAGTACAAACTTGTAGTCTCAGCTGCTCAGATGCACATAGCATCATCTGAGCACAGAGGTTCAAACCTAGTCTTGGACAATATAGTGGAACACTAGTTTAAAAGAAGAGAGAAAAAGAGGGAAAAGTATATCAAATACCAACTTAATAAATATCTTATTTTTTGTTTGTCTTGAACAGTAATGAGGATTGAACTTAGAGCCTCTTTCTTGCTGAGCAGGCATTTTACTACTTGAGCCCTTTTTTGCATTGGCTATTTTCTAGGTAGAGTCTCAAAATTTTATGCTCAGGATAGTCTGAGCTGTGATCTTCATACTTATGCTTCACTGTGTTGTTAGGGATGACAAGTATGTGCCACTGTACCAGCCACTGGTTGAGATGGACTCTAACAAGCATGGACTAGTTTCAATCCTGGACCTCCAGTTTCTGCCTCACTAGGATTATAGCCTTGACCCATCCTATATGACAATTAAGAAATACCTTAGTGATTTACTTATACAAATTAATATTTATAAAAATAGATTAGTTTATTGTTATATACGTGCTGATGTATATGTTGTGAACATTGTTTTTTCAAATAGATATGACCACATTCTGAAGTGGGAACTCTTCCAGCTGGCTGACTTGGATAAATACCAGGGACTGCTAAAGTTGCTCTTCATGAAAGAACTAGAACAGATTGTTAAAATGTATGAAGCCTACAGACAGGCTCTTCTCACGGAGTTGGAAAACCGCAAGCAGAGACAGCAGTGGTATGCTCAGCAACATGGCAAGAATTTTTAAGTTAACTTTTTTAAACAATTTAAAGTTTTATAAGAGCTTTAAAAGATTTTCAAATAAGCTGCAAACAAGAACTTTTGTTAATAAAGGCAGCTGACTTTTTGGTAATGATAAAATCAAAAATTTACATGTTATTTTGTTATTAGAAGTTTTCTTTTATTAAACAACAAATGGGTTTATCATTTGAAGAACTTTCAAATGCTGTATATTAGGAAACTGCTTTGAATTGTTTGATTAAAAAATGCAGCAAAATAAGGTCATCAGATGTTCAATAGGAAATGATCACTCACAGCAGCAGTAACTTTCTAAAAAAGGAAGAATCTATGCAGTATTGTAAAATGTTTTTCATGCTTTCAAGCGGAATTACCATGGTGTAATTCAAATGCAAAATAGGATTCGCAACCTCTCTTGTGATGAATTTCTAAATGATATATATGGGTGGCGTCTGTCTCTTCCCACTCCTCAAATTTAAGGAACCTTTGGAAGCATGTTGAGAAACTCTTTCAGGAGTGAGTTTAAACATCAGGTCTTAACCTGTGTGGAGAGGTGTGTACGTAACCTGTGTGGAAAGGTGTGTGTAATACTAAAGCATTGCTTACATGTTTTCCTTACTTCCAGAGCTCTTACTGAATTTCACCTGACTCTGGTGAGACAGTTCAGGGTTCCTGCTAACAGCACACTGCCTTCTGACAGACTGGGTTAAGATGTCAAAAATGGCAATCAGGGAATCAATAAGAAATCTTGGTTATTAAATCAATTTTATATTGCTTTTTTATCTTAGAGAATGTCAAAAAACTTTTAAAACTATATCCTTCCTTCCCATTTTCCCCCATTTGGTTTATTCTTGCAAAGGTATTGCTTGTAATTAGCACAAATTTATACTTCTGGCCTGTAAATCTCTAGAATCCTGTGAATTTCATAGCTGTTCATTTATCTTACATGTGTTGTAAATATGTAAACATACTTTTAAACTTAGTCTTCCAAAATTCAAAGCACTCCCAGTTTGAGATGAGCTTGGATTATTGATAAAATGTTAAATGTTTGATTTTATATAACAGGTTTATTAAATATATTTTTGTGGAAACTGCATGTGTGGTGTTTGAATCTATGTTTTAGACGTATTACTTTGGTTTTCCTGTTCAGAAGGCCAATAAGCCAAGGAAGCAATACAATGAAAGAAACTAAAAATTGAGAGTGTGGTTAATGGAATTTTAGCAGTGGGAAATGGTAATTTACTGAGCTTGTGATAAAACATTTGTAAGAGGTAAGCTACTATTTCTCAGCAACTTACACATACTCTTCTCAATTATTTGCTCTTAGCCATTTCCTGAGAATTTAAAATGTCTGTTTTGGGCCTCTCAAGAAAGAAGCATTACTCTGTGTGTGTGTGTGTGTCTGTGTGTGTGTCTAAGTCTGTGTGTGCCTGTGCAGGCAGGCGCACACCCACTAGAGCTTTAAACATAGTGCCTCTCACTCTGCTACCCACAGCTAGTACTCTTATCACTTGGCCATGCCTTCAAGTCCTACTTTTCTGTTTTCATTACCACAAACCCAGGCTTCTCTAAGAATTCTGCTTAATGAAACTTCACTAGAGATTTTGTCACTGGAAGTATGTTAAGAAGCCAGAAATAGTTCACACTTATAATCCTAGCAAGAGGCAGAGATAGTATTTGGTTTGAAGCTAGCATGGGTCAAAACTTCAAGAGACCCCTGCCCCCATGTCAACCAATAAGCCAACTGTGGTGGGCAAACCTGTGGTCCTTGGTATGGTAAAAAGATTGAGGCCTCTAATGGCCCAGGAAAAAAAAAAAAACCTCAAGATCCTAAGAAAATAACCTAAAAGCAAACTGCTGGAGATGTGGCTAATGTAGAGTGTTTGCTTAGTAAGCAAAAGTTCTGAGTTCAAACTCAGTACTAGCCACTTAAAAAAGAGAGAGAAAGAGAAAGAAATACAGTATAGAATCATTGGTCTAAAAAAACTGAAGTGAGGGGGTGGAGCCAAAATGGTCTGGTTGCTGGACATAGTAGCTCAGATCATTTTTTGTGTATTAATCTGTTTATCCATCTTTTATTCTCTTTAGCCTTCTCTAATATATAATTAAGTAGACCTTTTCGACCTATGACATTCCAGTCTCTCATCACTCTTTTGGGGAGCAGATACTAGTGTGTGTGGGAAAGCCAGTGGAGAGGGTGAATGATGATGAAAATGGTCAAAGTACATTATATGCTGTATAAAAATAGAATAGTGAAACCTGATGAAATTGTAGGCATGTATGGAAATGACACAGTGAAACTCTCCTTGTACAACTAGTGAACACTAATAAGAGTCTTTAAAACTAAAAAGAACTGCTAGGATGGATGCCAGGCATGGTGATGTATATCTGTAATCCTAGCAATATGAAGACTTTAAGGCTATCTTGGACTATATATAGCTAGTTTTAGGCCAGCAAGACTCTTATTTAAAAAAATAAGACCAACAACCTGGAATACATTAAAATGAGATTAGTGTGTGTTTCTTAAATGGAAACTGAAATCTGTAATGGTATCTAAAGCAAATAAAATGCATCTGGAATTTTTAGAGACAAACCATTATTGTGTTATCAGTACCTCCCAGACAGTTCCAAATTCAGTAAGCGTTTGTTTTAGTGTTAGGAACCAGAGTATTTTTAATAGTTCACATGTTAAAAGAATAAACTATGAAGAATACATTTCTTGTGTACGAAATGAAAAAATATACAATGCAGTGGAACTCAAATACATATACAAAGTGATTTTTTGTGCATTTTATCAAGAGGTTTACATTCTATATTAAGCTATAATATAAAAGAAACTATAGAGTTTTTGGTAAAGCAACAGAAAAGCTCTTAAATGTATTTACAAATAAGAGCTTGTGTTATGTGTAAGATTATATTGATTAAATCAAGCCCCGCTGAATTGATGCTGTGCTTTAAGAAATAGTTAAGTGAAATAATTTAAATTTTTTCTGTAGCTATTAAGTGAGCATATCCAAACATGGAGTTATATCACTGCATGGTTTAATTTTAACCCAGTAGTAGAATTTAGTAAATTCAAGCAGATCACATGTATTGTCATCATAAATATACAAATACCTTAACTTATAACAGTATATTTAAAGACAAAGTCAGGAAAACTGTACATGTTAACAAAGATATAACCATGCACACAATCATCTGCGTATTAAACACTGAAGTAACAGAGCTAAACCATTTTGCAGTCTTCAGAGGTGTTTGGTATTTTTTTTCTCCATTATGCTGGAAGCACTTTGAATTTTGAATGGAAACATAAATGCATATTTAACAGACAAATGGTCATGCACCTGTATTTTAAAATTTTTGGGTTAAGTTTTCTTCTTTTCTGATTGTTCAGTAGGTTCTGACTTTGGTGCAGGAAAAGCTTGATGATACAGATGTCTGTGGGTTGCTGCTGCACTGTAAAGCTTGTATAAAGCCTGAAATATACAAAACAATGCATTAGACATAGATGTACAAATTGGTACTAGGTAAAATTGAACATGCTGAATTTGGAATCTTTACATCATTACTCTATTTAGTAAGACATACTAATAACTATTTTCAACCACTTTTATGGATGAATGATTTTCATGGTAAATGTTTTATTCTCAGACTGTCTCCTTTTACTTTGTATACCTTTTAGTATTGTGCCTTAAGGGGTGTTCGTGGACAACTCATTTTATTACCAGTTTTGATGACTTATTAAAACTGATAACTTTTTTTTTTTTTGGTCCGGTCTTGGGGCCTGAACTCTGGGCCTGGGCGCTGTCCCTCAGCTCTTCAGCTCAAGGCTAGCGCTCTACCACTTGAGCCACAGTGCCACTTCCGGCTTTTTTCTTTTTGCTTATGTGGTGCTGAGGAATCAAACCCAGGGCCTCATGCATGCAAGGCCCTAGATCTGATAACTTCTGTATGTCATTAGGTTCTCATGAACGGGACTGATTTTATTTTCCCTTCTTAAACCTGATGCACTTGGTTGTGCAGCTAGGTATGGGGGCTTCTATTCCTACCCAGGACCCCTCACTGTGCATGCTTCTTGGTTTGGTGCCACTGCTTCCTTCATATTTTCTTCACCAGAAAAACTGCTTCACAAAGCCTTTTCTTAATAAAATTATCTCTGTTCTTTATATCACTTTAAATGTTTGAACCATAGGAAATTTTACATATTACTTATTGTTTAAGTGGCCAAATATATCCAAACCCCTCCCCACTGGCTAGTGTGTAAGGTTCATTCTCTCCTCTGACTTCTGCATCCTGGACATTAGTTATTGATTCAGTTGTTCTGGAGTCTGTGAAAAGTCTTTGAATATATTTAAGATCTGGGCAAAAGGTTGATAGCCTATTAATAGTAATCTATTCCAAGAAATTTTATGATTTTTTTTCATTTGTGAGTTTGTGAAGATATCTTTTAGATATTTTCATTTTAGTATTTTTTATTGCAAAGATAGTGTAGAGAGGGGTTAGTTACATAAGGTAATGAGTACATTTCCCCTACTATCCCTTCCCTCCCCAACTCCTCCCCCCTCCCCAAGTTATAAAGTTCATTTTCAACATAGTGTCTTGTATGTCTCATTGTTACAGTGGGTTAATCTGTATCCTTGTTGTGGAGCTATTTTTGTGGTTTTCTTTATGCTCTTAGTACAGGTGTTACTGTTCAGTTCTATGAATGCCTAGCATAACACTGTGGCATGCTGGTCTCGAAAGTGTTCATATCCTAATTTAATTCCAGTTCTCTTAAAGATATATTCATAAGGTTTGATTTCCAAAGTTAAAATTCACTGTTGTTTGTTCATTTATTTTTGGTGGTACTAGGGACTGAACTCAAGGTCTTGCTCTTGCGCTACTTGATTGAGCTGCTTCTCCAGCCCTTCTTTCTTTAGCTTCTCCCCCACCTCCATACCTGTCTCAGAATGCTATCATCCTGATTTGTGCCTGACCATTTGCTAGAATTACAGGTATAAGTGACCACACCTGGCCTCATTTACTTTTTTAGTGAATCTGTTTTATGAGTTTTCCATGAATAACGTCTTATTGACTTATAAATATTAAATGTGTAAGTGAACATAATTCTGTTAGGTGTTGCTGAGGAAAGCTGCAGAAGACCAGCTTTGTTCCCTGAAGAAAATGACTTGCATGAGATAATTTTTATCAATGTAAAAAGTGATTTTCCCCTGGAAATACAGCGTGTGTCTGCACATATATAGTTGTATACATATGGGATTATGTATAGAACCTAATGACCTATTTCCCAAAGCCAGGTCTGAGGTATGTGAGAAAGTCAGAAGTCATACTGTGTGGAACCTGCATAAAGTGGTATGGGTAACTGCCACCCAAAGTTCTAAACATTATAGTTACATTTAAATGTCCTTTGCAATCAAACTTTATAACTACTGGCTCTTCTCTGAAGGAGAACAGTGTTATCATATCAGAGCCAAGTAACTGTGAAATTTTCTACATATTCAGGAAAAATAGTCCTTTATTATGTTCAGGTCTGTATGCAGATAAATCCTTTATATGTTTGGAATGTGTTAAAAGCCTACAATTAATTAAATGCTAAATAGAAATAGTAGTTCCTAAGTTTTTTAAATCTATATTAAGTAATCCTTAATCAGACTGCTTAGTCAGTTTGTAAAATACAGTGTTTACAAATACAGTTCTTAATTTAAAAAAATTTAACTTACCTCATTTGTACTTCC